GATCTTCAGGCCATGGTCCTTGGCCTTGATCTGTGTGTATTGAACACTTTCCAGTCCAGTCACCCACCCCATACTTATTGCTGGGGAACGCAGCGTTCACACATAGACTTCATCATGATCAAACGTGACCTAGCGGATGGACACTCGCGTCAATCCCATGCCAAGCATGATCATCCCCTCGGCTGTTGGCGGGGGGGAGCTCGCCATTTTCCTGTTCATGCCAGTGTCCCCGTCATATGGCGGCCCTGGTCTCAGAGCCCACAGGCCACAGTCACCAAAGCAATTGACCGTCATGCCATTGCCGACGCACTGGCAGGCAAGGCCGACCCCAGGGTTCAGGATTTTCGGAGAGACTTGCAAACTCAACTGGATTCCATTAGTCACGACTTAATGGCTCTTCATGACACTGTGCATTCTCTTGCCATCAAACACTTTCCGAAGAAAGCACCCGTCAGGGAACAACGTCCATGGCAGGATGGTACTCTGCAACAATATGCATCCCTCATGTGGGGCCACCTTCGCAAGCTGCGCAGGTGGGCGTCTCGGCCTGCTGCGTATCAGCGTGCTCAGGCCCTGTTCCAGTGCTGGCGTCATAGTGTCCAGTTTGCGCGCATGCACCGCATGGCTCAGCGCCAGGGAAAGGAACTTCGCCGCGCGCGCCGAGCCAACCTCTTAATGCAGGCTGATCAAGCCATTAGTTCGGGGTCCAGTCGCCTTTTCTATCAGTTAGTGGACAAATTGGCTCCTAAGGGCAGGTATCGTAAATTCCAGCTCAGCCGAGGTGGGTCCATACTGACACCAGAGGAGGAACTAGACACCATGCGCAAACACTTTACGCAGGTCTTCAATGGTGACAACACACAAATACCGACTCCCCCAGAACCACATGCGGAGGACAGCTCTCTCCCCGTCGACAGCCGAGAGCTGCAAGTTTTTCTGGACAAGCTTCCGGCTCGCAAGGCCGGAGCTCCTCACACAGCCCCCGGTGCGGTATGGCGCATGTGTTCAGATCTGGTCGCTACTCCGCTTGCCAAGATCCTAACTCGGCGTTGGAGCCAGGCGCCACTTCAGCCGCCAGACAACTGGGCCAAGGCAACACTCTCTCTGTTGTTGAAGCCACATAAAACGGGATCCTCGCCGAAAGACTTTAGACAAATTGGTCTCCTTGACGCCCTTGGTAAAGCGTCGATCTCTATGTTGCTGTCTAAGCTGCGCTTTGACCTGGAAACATACGTACGTACCACACCACAATTTGCTTATGTAACGGGCAGATCGACGTCTGATGCATTAAGACGAGTCTTTCTCCATAACCACGATGCTCGTGCCCTCCGCAGTCCCAGCACGCGAGACCCTCACTTCAAACGTGCCGGAGGTCGTTCACCGTCTCTACAAGGCGGACTTCAGATCTGCTTGGACCTTACATCAGCATTTGACTATGTACCACGACATCTTATAGCTGAGGCTCTGCACGAGGCGGGTATCGCAGGGGCTCCGGCCGAACTCCTATTGAACTGGTTGCACCAATGCACGTATGATCTCTACATTGACCAGCAGCATACATGCATTCCCAGCAACAGGGGAGTCAAGCAGGGCTGTCCCGCCAGTCCCCTGCTCTTCGCGGCATTCATGACACTCGTCACGCGACGACTCAGCTCACGCCTTACAACTGAATGGGTGGAGCGATGTTTAACCATGTTTGCCGACGACTTCCACATTGGCCAGTGCTTTCACAGCTACCATGAGCTTGAAACGCTCAGCTCACGGATAGGCTATATCATGTCCACATTACGGAACCATGGCATGAGCGTCCACGCCACCAAGGCGAAGGCAATCATCACGATTGAAGGCACCAAACGCAGCACTGCAGTCAAGAAGCTTGTACGCACCAGTGAAGACGGCAAGCTCTTTCGAATACACACCAAACAAGGCGACGAATTTCTTCCGCTCGTACGACAGGCAGATTACCTAGGAGCAGTTACCACCTATGATTCCCACGCTTCTGCCACTCTGCGTCGCCGTACCTTGTTGGCTAAGGCGACGCACTCCAGGCTTAGATGTGTTTTACATGCTCACCGTACTCTCACCATCACGCACAGGATCAGACTCTGGCGGGCCACTGTGTGGCCATGCCTGGCGTATGGCTTGGAGGTATGCGGCTTGTCAGACGAACAACATGCCCAGGTGCAGACCTTGGTCTTGAAGCATCTACGGGGAATCGCCAGGTGCCCAGCCCATATCACGCATGAGTCAGACATCGACTTGCTGGTGAGGCTACATGTTCCACCCCCCCGGGATGCCCTCAGGAAAACTTTTGAGTCGGCGTTTGGACGCCAGGAGCCGGATGATCCTCATGTTCTCCCATACGACCACGACTGGAACTTACACCTTGCCAGCCGTCTCACGTCGGTATCTGCTCCTGCTAATGCTTCGTCTTCCACCTGTCCTGAATCCCCGCCTCAGTCTGATGCTGTCCCACCGTCGACACCTCCACTTACACATCCGACTGAACACTCAACTGTCACTAGGGTACCTGGTCCCCTAGCCTCGTCGGTACACACCCTTCCAGACCAGGTGGCGCAAGACCTGCAGGTTGCGTCCCTGAAGGACACGGATGTCTCGGCATCCGCTGTCCGTGACGCGATCCCGACTTCCTTTAACTGCCCGATATGTCAAAAATGTTGTCCTGACCGCAAAACTCTTAAATTGCACATGGCTAGGGTTCATAAGACCCAGGTTCCTAAGCACCCCTTTGACCGCGCTCGACACTCCGTTGACGGTGTACCTACTTGTGCCTTGTGTCGTCATGCATTTACTAGATGGGAAGTCCTGGCTAAACACATCAGCTCTTGGAGTTGTCCAGCCATGCCACTCCCCCCAACGCACACTGCGGCCTTAACTGAGTCGACACCTGCGCTACCTTCCACCCCTGCTGGAGCACCACCACTCACTCCCACGGTCATCCCTACTCAGCTCGTAGCCGCTGTCGCACAGTCGCCAGCGTCTCAGGTTTCCGTGTCCATAGAGCCGGCCCCTCAGAAGGGCGTGGAATCTGAGAGAGAAGACGTTGATGTTCCGCAAAGCCTGCCAGATCACACGAGCATGGCTGGGACAAGTTTGCCACCGCCCGCAGTTTTTGAGACACTGACTAGCACGCTTCGCGCTGGAGGCTTATCAGCCCTGCTCAGACATCCTGTGAAAACCACTTTGCTGCATATCTGCGGGCTCTGTGGTCAATGGCTGGCCACTCCCACTGCTCTTAAGAATCACTTCCGGGATCTGCACTCTCAGCTGTTCTTGCGTCATGCTGCTCGCGCTTCCCAGCAGGGGCCCAGGATAGGAGTTGCTTTCAATCCATGTCTCTATTGTGAACGCTCACATAGACATCCCACGCAGCACTTAGCACACTGTGTTAGTCTGTGGCAGTGTTGCTTCTTTAGTTTGCTCATTGCCGATGATGGTCACCCCGGGATCCACCCAAGCGGCGGACGCCTCCATGCAGATACTGGGCCAACTCCAGGAGAGCTTCGGCAGCGTGCTTGTGGCAGCGGGGAAGAGGGGAACGGAAGAGAAGCCGACAGGCGCACCCCAGGACCGCCTTCCGAAAGTCGGCCGAGGCTCAGTTGCCTGGGCGGACAGGGCAAGGGCTTTCAGGGCAAGGGCGGGCGTCGTCGTCCGGGCAAGAACCAGAACGGGCGCCCGCAGAGCGACAGCGGCAACTCCAGCTTTCTCAGTGGTTCCACCACGGACGGGGAGGATGCCGAACTGCTCCATCTCGTAGCTCGGGCCATTGTCCGTCACGAGGACACTTTGAATGTCCTTCGTCGCTCCACCGGATGGGTCTTCTGGATCCGATCGGGAGACCACTCGATTCTGCCCACGTTGGTCGATCTGGCGAGCAAATGGCGCGAGGTTGCGGAGAAGCAGGAGATTCAGGCAGATCATATCAGCCTCAGGGTGACCCTTCTCTGGGGCATCTTCACGACCTTGAAGGAGAAGCTGTCCCATCTCTCACAGGAGCAGCTGGCCTACGCCAATCGCGCCTCGTGGATCGACACGTCGAGCAACTGGAATTTCCAGCGATGGGACCCCCAGCATCAGATGCTCATTGTGGACACCTCCCGTCCCCCCCTCAGCCTGGCCCAGATCCAGGAAAGCCTTGCCACCCTTCTTCGGGTGATCAACGGGGACACCCTCACACGGTTCGCAGCCACGAAGGGCATCAGCGCTGACACGCAGGGCACAGTTCTCTTCCAGGCGGACATCAGCCTGCGCGCCCG